TCATAGATGCTCTTTGATTCCCCTACAGTAGTACTCTGGCAGTTTTTATTGTTGCGGACAGTTGACAGTGCTACGATGTTTATTGCATTTATCTGGACTCCACAGAAACAGAGTGACGTGCATGACTAGCTGTTGCTGTTTCTCTGGCTGACATACCTATCACTTTATTTGCTGTTGATTGTAATTAGAATAATGGGAACTTTTGAAAGACGGCCAGACTATTGGTGTCTGACAATTATGAGGAGATCCATGGTTGAGCAATAAAACATCTTTCTTAATGAGACTTAATGCTGTAAATGCATTACGTCTCATATGGTATTATGAACTTTTTTTTTTTTTTTTTTACAGTTTTCAACTTTAACCTAAAAATATATTCCTTTATAATAGGTGTTACATTTTTTTTTTTTAGAGATATTTTGGCGGAATATCTTTTTAATATTTTTTTTTATTTTGGTTGGACACCGTGCCTGTGTCTTTTTATTGACCACCTCGAAGTTCTGAATCCTTGCTGGAAGTAACGAATTTAACAATTACAGGCATAGTTTGACATTTTGGGAAATGCTTATTTGCTTTGCTGTCGAGAATTGGATGAGAAGATCGCTGCCATTCTGATGTCCTTGCATCAAGTATGGAGCTACAGCGAATAGCCTAGCTTATCATAAAGGCTGGAAGTGTGTGTGTGTGTGTGTGTGTGGGGGGGGGGGGCAGTTAGCCTAGCCCCCCCAAAAAAGATGTATCTACCAGCGCCTCTGTAGCACACTAATAAGCATTTTCCTTGTAAACAGCAGCAGCTATGAAACCACAACTTGTCATTTTTTCCAGACTTCATGCTAAGGTAGGCTAAGCGCCTCCTGGCTCTAGCACATTACAGCCATGATACAGTCATTGATCTTCTTCATGTAATCACTTTTGTCTTTCACTGTCTTCTCTATACAGTTACACCGAGATACATGGCTCTTCTCTTCTATCTTTTTGTCTTTCTCTTTATCACTTTAGTTCTCACACTTCCGTTCACTACCATGAGACACTGGGTTTGTTTTCTCTCCCCGCTCACGCTATGCTCATTCCAAACCTCTCTTTAAACGAACGGACAGACAGACATAGAAGAAGCTAATTGGCCATTATGTCAGAGGTCTTTGTACATGCTCTCAGCACTTCAGATAAGTATGGCTAAGTGGTGCTTGTATAAACATGGATCCTTATCATTCACTGAGAGACTGTAGCACAGTGTAATGGGCCCTTCACACTGGATGCAATAACTCCACCCCTATGCTATAAAACGCATCAATACCAATGGGTTTTTACTGTGAATGAACAGATATCTGGAGTGCCTATGTGCACCTTTTTAATTGGCCTTGTAGCGAAAGTTCAACCCAGTTGAACTTTCCTGATGCACTTTATGGTGAAGCCTCTCCATGTCTATTTGGAAAAATGTGGTGTAGTCACCCAGAAAGAACAGAATATTCAAGAAAATTTATGCAGATGATGTTAGAAGAGAAATTACAGTGTAATTTTAGAATTGTACAGAGTCTGTGTTAGAAAGGCTCTCCCTAGAAGCAAGAAGGCAGATTTGGGTGTTTCTGAAATTATAATTAACCTGACTGGATGAGATATGTTACATGTTGAATGGTGAAATACCATATATATCAAAGACCAACCCATTAAAGGCCTAGGAACAGACCCTACTCTGACCAAAATCACTCTAACAATCAACATTACTCAAACTTCCTGTAGCAACTAGTGATGTTGGCTGTTCTTACACACACACAGAGACATGCAGTAACTATGACTTAGTGGGTGTGGTGGAAGTTATGGAATGGACTTAAAAAAAGACCACTGTTGTTGGTCTCTGATCCACATTAGCTCGCTTTGTTTTAGTATTCCTTTCTTCCTGCATTTCTTCTCATACTTGCATTATTTTTGTTTCCCTCTCTTCCTCTGTGGAGGCTGGAACAGAAACCTTGGGAAAAGGAGAGGGAAGGGCTTGATGTGTAACAGAGAGACCAAGAAGGTATAATTAGCTACAAAGTGAATAAGAGAGATTTGCAATACACACCATGGGGTTCCAGGATGGTATTCCAAGTGGGAATTTTAATGGTAAGCTTCATTCCTACCAAGGTGCCTTTGAGCAAGGCACTGGATGCTGAAAACTCTAGGAGTGCTTTCTGACTTCCCAGTGTGTAGTGGAAACATTTTTCCAGATGGATCAATGGAGTATCACAGTAATTTGCTCATATAAACGCACCGCTGACTTTGCTCCTGCTGACTCATTATCCACTGATGATGCGAGAGCAGAGTCCCAGCACCAGGCTACAAAGTTGACATAATGGATTTTGCCTAGCAAGTTAAACAAAGCCCCATTTTTGTATTAGGTCACCCAACATACGGGCATAACTTTAGAGCCACTCTGCCACCAAAATGCTACACACTGATCACTTTATTGGGAACACCATTCCACAAGAAACAGATTCTGCTCCATGGTGGCTACTGAAGTACACTGAACTCATTGTCACGTTCATGAAACCAGTTTGAGACGACTTTCGCTTCGTGATATGCAGCGTTATCCTGCTTGAAGTCGCCATTAGAAGATGGTAAATTGTAGCCATAAAGGGATGCACATGGTCAGCTACAATACTCAAACGATGATTGTTGGCATCAAGGTGTCCAAAGTGTGCCAAAAAACATTCCCCACACCATTACACCACCACCTGCATAGTTGACACAATGCAGGTTGGGTTCATGCTGTTGATGCCAAATTCTGACCCTACCATCTGTGTTCCTCAGCAGAAATCCAGATTCATCAGATCAGGCCACGTTTTACGTCTTCAGCTGTCCAGTTTTAGTGAGCCTGTTTCCGTTCTTGGCTGACTGGAGAGGAATCCAACGTGGTCCTCTGCTGTTGTAGCTCATCTGTTTGACGTGTTGTGTATTCTGAGATGCTTTTCTGCTCACCACAGTTGGAAAGAGTAGTTATCTGAGTTACTGTACCCTTTCTGCCAGCTCCAACCAGTCTGGCCATTGTCCTCTGACCTCTCTCATCAACAAGGTGTTTCCATCTGCAGAACTGCTGCTCCACTCTCTGTAAAAACTCTAGAAATTGTTGTGTGTGAAAGTCCCAGGAGATCAGCAGTTTCAGAAATACTCAAACCAATAATCATGGCACAGTTAAAAGCTAATGAGATCACATTTTTTATCCATTCTGATGTTTGATGTGAACATTAACTGAAGCTCCTGACCTGAAACTGCATGATTTAATGCACTGCAGCCACATTATTGGCTCACTGGATAATTCCATTAGATGTTCATAATAAAGTGCTCATAAAGTGTATAAGAAGACATCTTTAAATCTGTATTTGATTTGTCATGTAATGGCCACGGTGTCTTAGAGTAACATTACTTATTTAGAGGCTGTTTGTTCCAAATCAGTGTGATCATCAATAATGAAATGACGTGTGATTAATCTTTGAAAAGCAAGGCTAGTTTGGAGTATTTACTGATCTGTGTGTGTGTGTGTGTGTGTGTATTTCCACTGTGTGCTGTTCTGTCATCACAGTGGAGGGATATCCCAGAGAAGTATGCTGTCCCAGGCTTGTGTAGGTTCTGTGTGTAGTTAAGGTTGTAGTCACGCCTCTGTACTTCTATCAGTGTATCCTGAACCTGAACAATCTCGTCTGACCTTGTCAAAATTTTTTAGCTATCAGGATTGCAGTCTGTCAGTTGATCAGGTGACCACTTTCGTCCATACTTCGATATCTCAATAACAGTAGGATGGAACACCAGAAAATTTTGTTAACACATTCACGTCTCATGTTTCATGTCTCAACAGCAACAAACTAACGAAACTAAGATGGAGAATGGTGTAAAGATTATACCTGCTTAGCATCAGCGTTTTAGCATCGTCGTTGTGAACATGTTAGCATGCTGATGTTAGCATTTAGCTCAGAGCATTGTTGTGCCTACGTATAGCCTCACAAAGCCACTAGCATAGCTATAGACTCGTAGTCTTGTGTTTTTTTCCCCCTGTCAGTTGCTCCATTTAGCCCAAATAACAGCCCATCCATATCTATTAAAAAATAGGGCAAAGTAAAAGTGTTTGTTTAGAAACTTTTTTTTTTTTCTTGTACATACACTTTTATTTACAACATCACATATCTCCTGCTCTCTGTCCTAGTCATACATCTGTTCCACCCTACAGACAAAAGGACTGATTCACGCTGTTATAACTCAGATTGTTGATGGTGGAAGATGTGATAATGAAAGCCAAACACCCTCTTATCAGCTTGGCGTTATGTGGTCTGTATTTTATTTTTCTATCAAATGACCTCCTTGTTGATGTCACTCTGAAGTAGGGTAATATATCAGAGATTTTCTCAGTACCCAGTGTGAAGAGTGATGTGCAGTATGTCACAAGTAAATTCTATGATAACTGTTTAGTCACATTACTGGTAATGGCAAAATTGTCATTGTGTTATTTGTTCCACAGAACAATTTTATATTGATTCAAGATGATACATAATATAAATCTCTGTGTGGTCTGTGTTACATAATGTGTTTGATCTGTTTTCCTTTACTCTTATTCTTTATCAGTTGTCAGAGTTACATTATTGTTACCACTCATTGTTACTGTTAGTTATCTGAGCTTTGGCAACATGAGAATTATGTCTGAAATGGATTAAAATGAGAACTTAAATAGGTGGATGGACAAAAAGAGAGACGGGGAGATGTGTACAGTCTGTGCTGTGGAAGAGAACACTCTGTGCCACCATGAATTCATCCTACCCCATCCTGTAAATCTCAGCAGTGTGTGGGGCCACAACACACTGAGGAACACTGACCACTGCTGGATCTTGAAGGAATTTGTCTTTCCCAGTAGTTGTCTAATGAAAAACATGTTGTGGATTCCTAAGTGACAGAATCTCCCTGTCTGTGTTACACTCTTGTCACTTTTTTACACACCTTGACCTTTTTCTCCATTTCCCCTCCTTTTGTCTCACCGTTAGGAGTCCCCTCAGGACAGTGCCATCACCAGAGACATTAACAGGACATTCCCAGCTCATGACTACTTCAAAGACACTGGAGGAGATGGACAAGACTCCCTCTACAAGATCTGCAAGGTGGGATGATAACACACAAGCAAGGGGTTGTTAAAATGTCTTTTTTTTGAAGAGGTTACATTTTGTAGAGCACAAAACAAATCAGCTGCGTGTATTCCCTTCTTCTCATCTCCAAACTTAAAATACAAAATGCAGATATTTATATCAGTCTTCACTCACCGTTGTCACAATGTATGCAATTCACAATGCACACAAAATATACCTGAAAAAAATAGTAAATGTGGAAACAAGCAACAGAAAAGAAAAGAATTTTTGCAACTCATCTATCACGTGGAAATGGCTGTCAGTGATTTATTTGACATGTTTATTATCTCACGATTGCCGAGGATGATACTGTAGTTATAAAAAATATCTTCCTTCAATTACGCAGGTGATACAGACACAGCTGGTGGCAGTGGTGTTCATTGCAAGAACCACTTGGAAATAATAGCAATCAGCATGTGAAATTGAATCACGTTTCCCTATAATACAGTGTAATTACTATGTAAGTGATTTGCTTTACATTAGGTTTGATAAGAAAGTTTGTAGAGCAGTAGAGAGAGTCGGTAATACTAAAATGAACTGTTCATTAATTAACTGAACAGCCACTCTGTTTCTGGGTGGTTCAGCGAGTTCATAACTGTCACCGCCTGTCTAGAAAAGCAAAACAAGTTTCTAATCGAACAAACACACACACACCACACACCACACACCAACCACAGTCTACTGTAATCAGTCCTGTTGCATAGCTGACTCTCACACACCAGCACACATCCGCAACCCTGCAAGAAATACTTATTGATCGTGAAATGCATGTGCTCTCTTTGTCATGAAAATGAACACGTGCTAATACAGTTGAGACATACGCATATCCTATAGTTCCATAATCCCACATGATTAGCCTGGCTGCGCAGTGTGTTCACAGCTTTTTCTTTTCATTTTCATTTCATTCATTATGTATAACTCAGGTGAGGGCATCCATCTCTTCCCAGACAAGCACCTCCTCAGGTGTGTTTGAATAATTCAGTGGGCCCTCCCTTACCTCTGTTTGTGGATTGATCCACACTTTGTCTGTTTGACTTGTACTCATTATTTGTGTTTGTAGCTCAGTAGGCCACTCCAGCCCTTCCAAATTCTCTCCCTTTCTCTCTCCCCTCATACTTACTCCACTTGCTTTATACCAACATCTCTCTCCAAGCCTTTTCTTTTCCTCTCTGTTCAGTCTCTACTCATGGTCATATTTACTTTTTTCCATCCCTTACTCCAGTTCCTCCGCTCATCTATGTCTTCCTTCACTGTAGTAACTGGGCTCTTCACAATAAGGTCATGTGTGTTCGAAGACAATAACATTTTAGATTTTTGAAAAGAGCAGAACATTACCAGAGATTATGTACAACATAATTCAAGTGCTCTGTGGCAAAAAAAGTCTGCTCTGGGTTCAAAAGAATAAGTATTTATACAAATTTTAATTGACTGAAATGATGGTGACAGTAGGTAGTACAGTTTGCCAACTTTCTCTCTCTTTTCACTTTATATTGCGTCATTTGACTCTGATATAAACCATGTGTAAAGTATCTTCATAAATCTTGGTTTGAGTCACACCAATTACAGTTTTCAGTTGCAAAGAGACAGAAATATTTGGACTTTTTAATTATTCTATCATCATTTCATTCCCCTCATCAGTTTTTGAATTGACTGTAAAACGTATTTACTGACTGTGTGGATTTGTCCTTGTCTTCTCCTTCAGGCTTACTCTGTTTACGATGAGGAGATTGGCTACTGCCAGGGACAATCCTTCTTGGCTGCTGTGCTGCTGCTGCACGTGAGTTCACATATCAGCAGGGTCCCGCAAAAATCCGAGCTTTTCAAACAATTTCAAGAGCAGAGGGGAGCTGTTTTGTTTTCATTTGACATCTGAGTGTTTTTGACATGCTGCAATGCTGGAAAATTTGCCTGGCTTATTTTGAAGGTCTTGGAGCTTTTCCTGTATATTGAGTTTAGGAGACAATAGGTATGATGCACTCGTACTGCACAAAAGCAGAAAGATTTCAGATAGAAAGCTGTATTTGTGGGACACTGATATTTTATGTATAAATAATGTAGAATTTGCTCATGTTCTTCCTCCACCCTGGAGTGGTTTGCTTTTAAGCACACCTGCAGTCTAGGGACATGTCAACACTGCCACCTAGTGGAGAAATCGTGTCTATGTCCTCTTAGAGCTTAAAGACTGCAGCAGACGTGTGCACAGGAATTTGACACAGAAATTATTTAACAAGTGAACTCTGTTTATTTATTCATACAGAAAAGCTTGAAGTTTTTACTGTTCTCCTCTGTGTGTGCTGTAAAACACTTCAAGTGTATCATGTGTAAAGTTCCATATAAATAAAGCATAGTTGAGTTAAAGTTTGACATATGAGCTTAATATATAATATTTTGTGAAAATATTTGACTCATCACCTTGTAATGCATATGAAATTGGTACCATTAGAATATGAAGTGGCATGAGCTACTGATGACTAAATCTCTTGGTCTTCTCCTTCAGATGCCAGAGGAGCAAGCTTTCAGTGTGCTGGTCAAGATCATGTTTGATTACGGGCTCAGGGACCTTTTCAAGCAGAACTTTGAAGATCTGCATTGCAAATTCTTCCAACTTGAGAGACTCATGCAGGTATGTGTGTTTAATTTGTAGATCTAAAGTGCTTTTTCTGATTGTACTATAGCAGTGGTTGCCCCTGCTCCTTTTCTCCCCTTTTCCCCATATGCTTAACTTTTTTTCCTTTCCATTAATTTACCCCTCTCCTCTATCTTTCTCTCCACACCATTCCTTCTAATATCTCTTTATTTCTTCTCCTCCTCCTCCTCCTGTGTCGCTGTCTTTCTTTCTGTCTTTAACAGGAATACATACCAGACCTTTACAACCATTTCCTGAACGTTGGCCTAGAGGCTCACATGTACGCCTCTCAGTGGTTCCTCACCCTCTTCACAGCCAAGTTCCCTCTCTACATGGTCTTCCATATCATTGACCTGCTACTGTGTGAGGTTGGTAATAAAAGACAAACACACAGGACTTCAACCAATTCACTTATCTATCACTATCTTATCACTCATTTATTTTTACTATCTATGAACACATAATATCCCGTACTGACTAAGAGAAACCTATTTTAGAAAAATGACACAAAAGTAATTGAAATACAAAAGTATCTTAAAGAACCCTTTAATATGACACTCAAAACTTAGCTCAGGCACATCCTGTTTCTTCAGATTATCTAGAAGTTGAGTGAGTGATTTGTTCACTGTGGAAAATTCAAGCACTGAAAGCCCCCAGGAGCTGAAATAATATAGCCTGAAGTGAGAGAATTATTACATAGAAGAAGTTTGGAACAATGAAGACTCTTCCAAAAGCTGCCTGACAGGCCAAACGCAGAAAAAAGTTTATCCACTTGAAGAACTTGGGAAGAGAATTTCTTTTCTGATGAGACAAAAGTAGTTTTTTGGCCTGAATGTCAAGCTCTACATTGAGTGCAAACCCTGTCCCATAAATCACCCGAATGAAGCCTTTGCTATCTATGGTGATGCATGATGCATTAATGGTTCACAGCAGCAGGAACTGGGAGACTGTTCAAGAGTTAGGAAGTGAGTGACAGACTAAAATACAGAGGGGGAAAACCTGCTGTTGACTTTTCAGCACAATGGTCCAAGCCAAGACAAGCGGAGTATCGCTGGAGAGATCTCAAGTTCCCCCATAAAATCTGACAGCACTAACAGATAATCTGCAAGAAAGACTATAGCAAAACGACAAAATATGCAAAGCTGGTGAAGGCTTAGCATTAGCAACACCCACAGCACTAAAAAATCTGGTCTGATTATGTATGCAGTTTGGATATTTCTCTTTTTATTTTTAATGAATTTGCTAAAGTGTCTTTGTCATTATTGACGATTGTGTGTCCATTGATGGCAAAAAAACATCTTAAAGTAATTCTGTTACACAGCAACAATAAATTCTGATGTTCATCTCTTTTTAATCAAAAACTCCATTCTTTAATACACTCTGAATACAAAGCCTTTTTTTTTTTTCTTAGGGCATAAGTGTGATCTTCAACGTAGCCTTGGCACTTCTGAAGGTAAGCTGGCCCACACAACAATGAATGCACACACACACACACACACACACACTAACAGTGACAACCAGAGCTCTGAGTAGAAACAGAGACACACAACACGTGCCAGCAGAAAGTCGAGCTTTGGAAAGATTTTACATGTCGGCGCATGTGAGCAGATGCAGATACATGCACAGTGTCACCACACTGTGACGCGCTGAAAGCGGGGCACATGTTTTTATTGAAGATGAGTTTGCCCTCAAAGTTAAAGTTCGGTCAAAGAAAAAAATGTCTATCATATCTAGTTTGTTTTAACAATTCTTAATCATTGGTAATTACGCTATGTCAGATTAGAATAAAGAAATCTCTGCCCAACAGGCTACTCTGACTTGGATAAATGTGTGCCTTATTTAACTTTGTGTTTTTTTTCCCTCAGACATCAAAAGACGACCTGATTCAAACAGACTTCGAGGGTGCACTCAAATTCTTTCGTGTCCCGGTTCCAAAGAGGTACCGCTCTGAGGAAAATGCAAAGAAACTGATGGAGCTGGCCTGTAGCATGAAGGTGAGTGCAGGGGAGAGTAGAATACTGTCTCAGCTCGCTATTACCATGCAATAGCTGGAGCTGGTCAGCCTTATATGGAGTGAACAAACAGATGAGACTTCAGGTTTCGCTCTGTGTTAACATCTAAGTATTTTAATAACCCTATCTTCAGTTTGAGTAAAAAATAGAAACATGCAAATTCTTTACCTTTCACAGCTGGTGGCCTTCAGAAATATTCAGAAACATCAAACAGTAATAGATACTGAATTTTGCAAACTTAAACAATTCATAGCAAACCATCTAAGGATGATTAATCGTTAGATTATCATTTAAAAATGATATATTTTTATATATGAAAACCTTTAATGTAGTTCAGCTGTGCTACTTAAATACCAGTAGGGGTCACTGTTGAGCTTAAGACAAACTAAATAGATGCAGTGTGCAGTGTACAACCCCCCCCCCCCCCCCAAACACACAACACTCACACACACACACACACACACACACACTTTGCTTCTCTCTTTAGGTCTCTATGTCTCTTAAACACACACACACACACACACACACACACACACACCTGTGTTCTGACCTGTTTTAAACAGTCTGGCCTAGTTTAGAGGGCCTGACTTTGAAGGTAACTTTGGGCAGAGATATTTATTGGCACAAACTCTGTAAAGGAGCCCACACGGAGAGAGACGTGAGCTTTTTGGTTCTCAGTTAGAGAGGCGGGCAGCAAGGAGAGACTCACAATGAGCAGAGAAAAATCCAGTGGCAGTGGTAGCTGTGGGGTCTTGAAGGTGTTTCAGCACTCATCTTAGAATCATCGGTTATGAACATAAATGATTAGTTTGAGCTGGTCAGGCCTCTCAGATGGGAGGCAAACACACTATTAAAGCATAAATTATATACTTTGTGCTAGTTTGGGTTCATTTGAGTGACCTGTATGCTTTATTTAATTATTAAGCTTAGCAGTAGTTGTTTTTTATGGGGTTCTTTGCACCCATTTGAATAAAATACCCTCATGTAGTTCCATAGAAGCAAATTATCTCCCCATTTACTGCATACAGCTTTAAGAAGCTATTTCCAGAACATTATTTGGCAAGAGAAAATAATTCCAAGAAGTCATTTGACAAATTGACCTCAGCGAGTACTGTAATGTTGGAGCTGAGTGGAGGTAGGCTAATCTGAATCTGAAGCTTGGATGTCACTATAGCAGGATTTACTGACCAGATTACTGGTGACCTCATCGTCTGACGATACTGATTGGATGACAAATCTTTCTGGGTTGCCTGGTGCTCTAAGTTTATTCATAGTTTTAGCTCAGATTTGCCAGATATATCTCATAGTGCTGTTTTAAACACAAATTTAAATTACCTACCTGAGGGTGTACACATGTATTTATTAATGCTAAAAAAGCACACAATGATGGAGAGCTATATTGGTTACATGGATATTTTTAAATATATTGTATTTATATACCAGAGGTTAAGGTCAAACATCCTGGTCCTTGAAATCCGTATTGACATCTTCCTCCCCTGCTTCATCATCTTCAAAGCAGAATCAGGATTGTATTGATCCTTTCTCAGGTAGAGGAAAGGAAAAGGTGGATGTAAGATTAAGGTATCACTAATATGTTGTATCTATTTCTTAACTATACCTGTGGTGGGTGTCTGTGAGTTTTAGCTGTCGGTATTAGGACAAAAACTCTTTAAACTATTTACTTCATAACTGTGGTCAAAGGTCATTAGAATTTCTATTGTTCTTTTGTGAGTATGACACAAAACACATTCATAAACGACAGTGAGGTCACAGAATTTATTCAGAAGGCAATCTTGGGGTCAAACCAGGGTCATTTATGTTGTCTCGGTGTGTAGTTGTTACACCTACTTTGTCCACTTGTCTGCTAACCTCTTGACTTGTTAAGATGATATATGCAAATTGTCCAGGGAATTTAAATGGAAATCATGAAACGCCTGCAGTTTTTTAATTTTTTTTTATTTTGCTTGTCAACTTTTTTTGTTTACCCGAGTGTTTTCGTTTCCTTCTCCATAAGCCTCACAGTTCTCTACTTTCCACGTAGCACATATGGACATGTATACAAAGGTGCATATGGTGAACAGCTATGTTTCCCTGCTGCTGTGAGAAACTTCAGCAGAATTCTCAAACTGTTGTTTTATGTTGTAGAAGCAGAGCAGCAACAGTGAAGCCGGCTTGTAATAGATTTTTGGTTCAGAAGAGCAGAGAATGATCACCAACTCACCTGAGAGAGCAGGTGGTTTTACAATATGCCTCCTGTAGTTCACCGTGTACATTCAGAAAACAATAGTGACGTTACTTGTAAATTTATAATAGATCCAAGCCTTGTAAGATGAGAAATATGTTATATCCATAAATTATGGCTGTACTTGAGAGCGGCGGATGCTCTGTGTTCCTAATTGCTTTTCTAAGTAGTAACTTCTGGAGACCCAGCTGTCTGTCAAGGCTGCGAGAGAGAGAGAGAGGATGAAAAAAGAATGAGAAAGAAGATGGATAAGTCCTGCTCTGAATGACCTCTTGTACTTTTTCCTCTTCCTCCTGTCCGTCTTCCATTTACAGAGCAGAATATGTGACCACACACACACACACACACACACACACACACACACACGCACACACACACACACACACACACACACACACACACACACACACACACACACCCCTACAGCAGGACAACATGTGGGCCATGCTGTCCCAGTTCTGCCAGCATCATTAAGTGATGAGCTGAGAACATTTGGATCATCTGATGTCCTGTAGTGTAATACTAAACCTGAGATTGTAATGTACACATGCAGGTACGAAGGCAGCGACAACAGTGCTTTGATGTTGCAGCTTTTACCAGATGCATTAAAATCCACAGAAAGCACAAGCATGTCTTAGTTTGTGGACAGTTGTGGCTTTCTCTTTCATGCTGAAAACCAGGAACATAGTATTCATTGTATGGTAGCCATCTTTTAAAAAGTCCCTTGTAATGCAGTGGTTGAGCAGTGAAAGGCCCGTTGATGAGACTGCCTAAATGCAGTGTGTGTGTGTGTGTGTGTGCGTGTGCGTGCAAAGTGCAGCTCTAGGCATGAATGTGACTGTGTGTGTGTGTGTGTGTGTGTGTGTGTGAGTGTGTGTGTGTGTGAGTGTGTGTTTTTAAATGGGACACTGTTTCGCTGTTTTGGGTAATCGGAGGTGTACCACTGAACCTGAACTCTCTGTACTGAATTCTATGTTCATTGGCTCAACAGCAAGATGATGAAAAGTCTGAGCCGCTGAAATTTAGATGTACCTGCCCACAGACGCTTCAGAAAAATTGTAAAATGACACAAAAGAAATAGTGTGTAATTGATCATCCAATGAATCAATCAGTCAGCTGTTACAGCTTATATACACATGTACACTCCCTTCAGGGAAGGCCGTGTCACATGGTGGTACAGCCATATTTCAAAATGCTGTAATGTAGAAGCTACATCTCGAACTTTTCTGGATGTTCTCAATAAAACTGTGAGGTGATGATGAGTGACTTTTGATTGACTATACTTTGTACAGCGATATCTCAGTGAACCAGTTTGTCAGACAGAAATTAACAGCAGTAAATTATGCAGTAATCACTGCATATGTTCCATTACATCTTATTCACATGCTGGACAGGAGTAAAGAACGGCACAGTCCAACAAAGATTATAAATCCTGTGGCTTTGTTTACAAAAGATTGTTAAGACTCCTTTCTGGCAGCCACCTTGAGTGCAGGAGCCAAACACTAGTGGGCTAGTTTTTATTTCCATTCTTCACCATGTGTGTATTTGTGATTATTCTTCATTCTTCATTCTGCGTAATGCTGTTGTTTCTCTTCCCGCTGCCCAACAGATCAGCCAGAAGAAGCTGAAGAAATTTGAGAAGGAGTACCACACCATTAGAGAGCAGCAGGAGCAGCAGGAGGCCCCCATCGAGAGATACGAGGTAGACATGGGCACAAGATATTCACACAAATGAATAAACCATAAAAGATTTTATGACTTCTCCATGTAATCAACATAAACTAGACATTAAATTGCATCTACTTATCAAAATTCTTGAAATTCTTACTTGCTTCCTCTAACAGGAACAGGAACCTTTGCATCCCTGTTCATACTGCACCATCTTTAAAGTGCTGTGCCAATTCTGTCAGCAACATAGCAGCTGAATGAGAGAGAAAGGCACCTATTATGTATTATTACCTATTTTTGTATCCAGCGTATTACATTTGATCTCACAAGTGTGCAACGCTTCAACATAGGAAATGAATTGTGTTGCTGTTACTAGTAGTATTATTAGTAGTATTGTTGTTATCTAAATAAGGATGTCATTACAGTGTTCAGCTTACCTCTGTTAATACCTTTGCATTGCATTTTATTTAAAGGTATTGTATGTAAATGTGTCTGTCAATGTTAAAACAACCGGCATATTCACAGTAGATCTATTTATTTACTATAGACCTTGACAGTCCTTGTTCTAGAAAGACAAACTACACGGCACTGAAAAAGCCATTAATTGTACATGGCCATACATCATCTCAAGGGTAACGGGCTGGTTGTATACAGAGCAAGATCATCAGTTACAGTGACTTGGCGTTCTTCTGAGTTTGCGCTTAAAAATGCTTCCAACAAGCAAACGCCATTTGTTTTGTATTTTTCTGTTTTTCTGTTTTTATATACTCTTTAAATCACAACATAATTGATTTAGTCAGCCTATCACTAACTAGTTTGATTATCATATGAAGATGCTACCACACATTTTACATCATCACAATTGTGATTGTGTGTACTAATATAGTTATAGTTAATTTCTTTTAATCCCCCCCCTCCCCCCATTTTACATTGATCCTAATTTTAGCAAGCACATCATTCGCATTAAAAACCTCACTTATCATTTATATTTTGATATGTGCTGCACAATATCAGGCTTATTATCCCAGAGCCACAGGTTCAACACTGTAGATAAGCAGGAAGATTTTCTGTGAAAACCATCTGTTCTGAAATGAGAATGTGTGAATTATGTCAGACAGATATGATCCTAAGCTAGAAAAATGTAGCACTGTTTTTTTAATAGTGCTTGGAAGTAGGAACAACTCCAGATTTCATAATTTCTATACTTCTTCCTCTTAACTCTTCTGCTTGTCAGCTCTGGGAAAATATTATGTATATATGTGTGTCAGTTTTTTTATACAACTGCCTGTTGCTGTTAATTATGTACAAACCGGTTGTGCTCAGTTAAACATTACAGACAACTGTCACTGTGTAATTATGCTCTGACCTGATCACAGTTAACTTTTACACCCGCACAATCTCATTCTGAACAGTGTTGCATTACTTTAGAAACGACTGAGCCAGGAAGAGATGCTTACACATTCATTCGCAACACTTCATGATTAACTCCTTCTCCCTGCTCTGCTATCTCTTCACTGTCCTTCCTCTTTCATGCCCTTTCACTTCTCCCTGTTAATATGCTCTTCTGTTTTGCTGTCCCATTGTTTATTCTTTTTCTTTATCTGCCTCACTCTTTTATTTTAATCTGTCTCTCCTGCCTTTTCTCCTTCTCTCTCCGTGTCTCCCCCCTCCCCGTATCTAGCGGGAGAACCGCCGTTTGCAAGAGGCTAACATGCGTTTGGAGCAGGAGAATGACGACCTGGCACATGAACTAGTCAGCAGCAAGATAGCTCTGCGCAAAGACCTCGACAACGTAAGCCAAAGAGAGAGAATACATTTGTGTGATTTTTGTGAGTGTGCATGTTAAGAAAATGTGACTTGTCTCTGCTGTAAGGACAGTTCATTTGGCAACATATTGTGCAAGAACTGAAACCACATTAGGGAGAGTGAAAACATAGTGTGTTTGTGCAACAGAAACACACACGCGGCAAAACCTTCATTTCGACTGAGCCTTAATGTACAGTAGGGCTTAGCAATATGCAAAATAAAAAACAAAAACATACTGCGATTATTTTGACAGGTGATGCGATGCCCCATGATTTTAGTGAGACTAGTGATTTTTGCATTTCATATTCACTGCAAAAAATATGAAAATGATGATTATGTGATTTTTGCTGAAGCCTGCACCAAACAAGCATGTTCCCTTACGCCTGCAGAATATGATATGTAGGCCAGGACAGACTCTGTAGCAGCACAAGGCTTCATTTATAGTGGTATGTTGTGACACATTTTACCTTTATCAAAAAATTGCAGCTCTTCCGATTTGTATATTGCATTTGGCCATATTGCGATTTTCGATAATATTTTGATTAATTTTTCATCCCGGATTTACACAGTCTCAAAATGGCATTAGTGAATGTGTGTGTGTGTTTGTGAGGGAGAGAACATATGTTTGTGTGGGTCATAGTTTGACTTACCTTGACAAAAGAGGCGGTAGAGAGAAAACTAAGGAGAAAGTGGGGTGAGTAACTTTCAGTGACCTTCAACATTGGGTTATATTGTCTGTGCGTGTGTGTCTGTGCGTTTCAGGCGGAGGAAAAAGCAGACGCGCTGAATAAAGAGTTGCTGCTGACCAAACAGAAACTGGTGGACTCTGAGGACGAGAAGAGACGACTGGAGGAAGAGTCTGCACAGGTTAGAGCCAACGGCGGGGCACTGTTGTCTAGCCAAACTGAGCCTGTGTGGAAGAAAACCTCTTCCTGAGCCCTGCTGATTTCTAAAATTTGTGTTTTACTTTAAACCTCAGGAGTGGCACACAGCGTTACAGATAGTAGGAAAGTGTCAGCACTATTGCAAGACACATTCCCAGCTGTCTCTGTCCATGAGATGGAACTGTCTATCTCATGGATATAGACAGAAAGAGTCCATTATCTGCAGGTTTTCATTCCAACCAAACACTGCAACACTTGATTTTACTGGTAAGCTGTCTTTCTGCAGATAGTCATTAATCAGCATATTCCGCTGCTGTGTTGTTTAGTGGGAGTAAAAATATACAGACTCATGGCAAGTGCTTACTTGTCTGTTGATTGATTATGCTGTTCTTTAAAAACAAGGCTGTAGCGTATACTGTATTTGTCTGAGGTAGCAGTAGTGATCATGCTGTGACTGGAGCCACACATGAAGTAAACCAGAGGTCAGAAATTCAACTATAAAAGACCAAATCTTAACAAAACAGCCATGTGAAGCTGACCTAGTCCAGTCAAACCTTCAGCCATAAGAGTCGCTTCAGACATGAAGTCAAGCACAAACATCTGTTCACCCAGGTATTTGTGCATGTCTGTTTGTGTCTGTCTGTCAGTTTCATATTCTCTCTGTTTTGTCTCTCCCCCACTTTTTCTTTTAATCCATCCATGTTATTTTCCCTTTGTCTATATGGTTAAAAAGCTCGATTAATACATTCTCCTCTGTCAGTGTAGTATTGGTCAGGTTGGTTTCAGGTCTTACTTTATCATTGTGTCATTTCTATAAAGATGCATACTCTCCACAGTAAAACCTTCGAAGTCAGAAGATGTCAGTTCTTCTTAGACGTTAATTTTCTTGAGTTCAGTGAAGAACCCCTTCGAAACAGAGGACAAACCTGCTGCCCTCTGTTCCCATGTGTGTTCAGTGCTGTCCTCCAAGTGCCTCCTGTCTTCTTCAGTGTGTAGGTAGCTGTCAGTGATGTATGTGCCTGCATGGAGGTTGTGTGGAGGGCATGACTTTGCCCCCAGCTTCACATCTGCCAATACCTTCCTTTGTCTTCTTTACATTTCATGGCAGTCACACGGTCTCTGGGGCCTCTGACTCTGCCCTTGTCCTTAGTCTCTGCCCTGCAACATCCTAACACTATCTGTGTGTGTGTGTGTGTGTGTTTGTTTCAACAGCTGAAGGAGATGTGCAGACGAGAGCTTGACAAGTCTGAATCAGAGATTAAGAAGAATGGCTCCATTATTGGAGAATATAAGCAGGTATGTATTTACCTGAAGATTGTGCTTTAGAATTTATTGGTACAGAAATCACTTAAATTAAGAAGTTTCCTTATGTACATATATCGGCCTTGCACTTTATATCGTATTACTGAAGTGCTTCTTTCGTGGCAAGTACATTTTAGAGAAGTAAAACTGTGAACTGTGGCACACCCACCCCACTTTCCTTTTTGGATTTGTGATTTTCACATCAAAACCAACATCATAACCCTTTCTACAATCTGCTTAACCTCCCCCTCCCACCAGCCCAAGCCATAATTAAAATGGACATAATAAAATGAAACTAAACTCTAATGAAATGAACAGATAAATAATAGAAGAAAACTTCCACGTTTCAAACTACACACAGATCTATTATGGAGCTAAAATGTATGAAATATAGTAAGGGGCCAGGCCATGAAGAGCCTTAAAGGTAATCAATTAAATCTTAAAATTGATTCTAAAACCTACCGGCAGCCAGTTTTAAGAGAGAGAAATAGGCATAGATGGGTCACCCCTCTTAGTCATGTGCAGCTGCTGCAGTTTTCCAGCCACAAGAAGTTAACTGGACACAAATGATTTCAAGAGTTTTCAAATTTATTATAATCTGTGGCACAGATTGAATTCTATGAGGATCTTTAAAATCTAAAGTAGATGAACAGAAGGCTGCTCATTGATGATGGAAGAAGCACAGAACAGAAGAGCTTTGCTAATTAAAGATACAAGTACATATAAAACAGGGTAAAACAGTACTAGTAGCTTAGTAATTGGTGATCAGATATGAACAGTAATTCTGCGGGTCCACGTTTGAATCCATGTTAGAAATGTAAAGATGTAGTGATATAACTCTCATGTTTAACAAGACTGGATAAACATTCAGAGAACTCTCCACATAGCAGCGAGATATAGTCTCAAGGTTCGTTACTTAATAAGTTCATTTATATCTCAAAGCACAACATAAATAGAAAAAAGTTTTTTTTTTTCTCTTTTTTTTTGTCAAAGCCACTTTGTTTTCATTGAACATGTCTTGTACTGATCCTTTCATATTTTAACAAGGTCAGACATTCATTGTCAATAAGACATCACCAATCTCACAGTGACGACACAGATTCTTCATCAATTTTATGCATTTAGTATATTTCTGCCTGTGGTGTATAGTTTTGCTTATTTTGTGTGTTGTTTTTTATTCGCTTTTGGTGCATTTTATGTGGCTCATCCTGAACTCTGAAGTCTTGAGCACCTCTCCTCCACTTATTTTTCCTTATTTGCCTTGTGTTTTCATATCTAAAGCTCTGATCAAGCCATTACTGTGGCAAGACTTGGCATAAATATTTAAGGATAGTATAAGAGCAATCTGTTTTCATTCATTCATCTAGTTTGTGAAGCAGAAATATCTAATTTTACGACCTGTCCCTAAGCTGAACCCAGAGCCTTTGAAGCCTGACTTTGTGAGCATATTTTGAGTTCCTGTCTCTGAATTCCTCTTACGGTGATTTTTGTCCTTTCAGATCTCATCTTGTCACTTAATGCTTAAATATAAACCCATCCAGATCAAGTACTATCACCATCAGCACTCAGACATTATGCAACAATCCAGCTCCTATTGCTCCCTGTGCGGGCAGACAGAAATAGCAAGAGGACTAATTTAGAAACAGACCTTAACTTCACCTGAGTCTAAAAATATTGGTGGCAGGTTGGAATTGACAGCAGATCTGAAAACTGGTGACAAGAGCCATCATTGAGAGAGAGGGTTTGATGGTTGTGTGCGTTTGTGTGTGTATTTTGGGTGAAAGCAGCCTTCAGACTGCTAGCATGCAGCTGGGAGCTGAGCAGAGCTAAGTGTGAAAATGGGGCTTCTTCAAAAATAGTTCTTTTTGTGACAGGGAGGAAGGGGGTGATGGATGAAGAGAGGCAGGAAATGAACAGAAGTCTGTGCAGGAGGGAGCAGAGGGAGGACAGTAGCTTTCAATCCCATGGGATTGACAACTTGAGGAATGCCCTAAAATAGCCTGCATTGTTTTCCAACCCAGATAACTGAAATTATTCTTCAAATAGCATTTTCCTATTTCAGTGGCTGTGAATGCCAAGTTTCTTTTTGTGGGATTAGAGCCAAAAAAAGCTTTGTGTGCTAATTGCCCCTCTAGCCCACACGGACAGAGAAACGTCTGTTAATGGTGAAAGTAAAAACAGTGTTGAGTGTGTGCATTATAATCCCTGTTGTAAGAGAAGAGCCTGTGTAGATACACTCAGGCCGGCCGGGCACTTTCAAGGTAACACCAACATGCACCAGATCGGTGCTTTTGTCTCTATGGTCCTGATAGCACTATATTTATTTTATACAGTCTTAGAATATTTTGATCGAGGACACCAAAATATTCTCAACAAGTGACTGAGTTCAGCATTGGAACCTAATCGTCTGCTTCTGCTTAATATATGATGTTATAGATCCGATAAATAATTAAAATTGCATGTGCCTACAATGTGCCCATTGTGAGCATATGCACTGTATAAATACATTATTGACCAAGAAGACAAATTTTGCCCCAGGTAGTAAAGTTACAGCTGGACTGGATGAATTATTGAGTGAAAATGTTTTAAACAAATAAGACTGGGATTGTTTATGGAAAAAATTGAATAAGAAAAACATGGAAAGAAAGAAATGGCCCATGGGTCTTAATCCTGAAGTATCACAGAAGAGCACAAAATGAGTTTATTATGAATGTGTCATAATAGTGTCAAAAATGAAGGTGAGTAAAATGCCTGCTGGAGACAGAATGGTCCCTGCACAGTAGGGCTTAGCAGTTCAAGTAAAAGCTTCATAAAGTAAAAAGATGCACTGCATAATGTGCTACAGAAAAAGGAAGCAGGGAGAGTAAAAGAGTTGGGGGAGAGCTGCAACATCAAGAAGTCTGTAGTGATGAAGGAAAGGGAGAGAGTAATGGCAGTTGAGAGCGAGTGAAGGAGAAGATGACAGGAGAAAAAGCATAAAAGACATGTGGGAGGAAAACGATGGAAATCTGCTTGTCTGAAGATGCACAGATAGATGTATAGATTGATCTCTAAGGGAGGCGGATGAAGAGACATACAGTATATGCTGCAAAGAGCAGGAACAGATAGAGAGATAGTCTACAGAGAGGTGGGATGACCTGATGTACCCATTAGGATGACTCATGTCACATTGATCTCTGTTCATCTCCAAGCTAGAGCTGCGGTGTGTGTGTGTGTGTGTGTGTGTGTGTGTGTTTGTTAGTGTGTTTGTGGCTGTGCCTTACAGGAGGAAAAGAGGAGGAAAAAAAAAAGGATAGATATATGCAAGGACGCACATTCATACTCTTGCATACTCATGCATGTGCATCCTGTGAGCTCTGCTGGAAAAACAGGACCTTATGACATCGCTAATGGACTTAGAGTTAAGAGGATGAAATCTCCTCCACAAAGACTGATTTACCTAGAGCCACAAACAGAGTTGGCAGTGGGAAACACCAGATAGTGCGTAGTGTTATGTTCAGTCAGGATAGGCAGGAATCATAACAGACAGCTTAAGATCTTTCTCACTGGAACAGCACACTACACTCTTTGTCTCTAAAATCTGTTCTTAATTGCATTGGCATGGATTTGGTCTAAATGAATATGGCATTACAGATTTCTATCACTTTGTCCCATTATATTCTGTATTTATCACATAGATTGACTGATGTATTATTGTAAAGTGGGAAGTACACTGACTCATATACTGTAGTTTTACAATTTGCAATTTTGAGGTACTTACTCTTTACTTGAATATTTGCATTTTATGTTATTCTATCACATAAACTCAATTGATCTGACTGGTTACCTTCATAGTTACTTTGCAAATTAAGAGTTTACATAAACACATGTGGTCGTCTTATTAAATGATACATTGATCTGTGTTAATGAAAAGAAGCAGCAGGCTAGATGTAATGGCTGCAGTGACTACTGAAGTTGTTACATTGATTGAGAGATACAATGGAGTTTAGGTGAATTGTTTATAGAGCTGACAGCAGTGTTAAAGCACGTAGCTGAACCAATCCATTGTTTTCAACTGTGTCTCGGGTTCCTATAGATCTGCTCCCAGCTGAGCGAACGACTGGAGAAACAACAGACAGCCAACCGAGAAGAGCTGGAGAAAATCCGGGTGAATTTTACACACACACACACACACACACACACACACACACACACACACACACACACACACACACACACACACACACACACACACACACACACTTCAAAACACTGCTGTGTGCCCTCAAAAACATGCTGTGCCAGAGCTATAAGTGGAGCATAATTAGAGAGCTCTGTTGTGATTGACAAATATATGAATGTATATGTGTGTGTCTCTTTTACATGGTTTTTAATTTAACAATTAATGATACAACAGAAACAGTGCCACATTATCACACTAGCTATTGATAATATTCATATTAGACTTTATAGTAGATGATGTAATGTAGCAGTGCTGACCCTTTATAAACCATCATCCTGAGGTCTGTCGTTGTTGAATAAGCACAGATCTCTCACTCTTCACAGAGGTTCCGTTGAATTTCTCGCTGTTTTTCACACATAATTATCCATAAATACAACAGAACTGCTCAACAAAGATATTTTCTGACCATTATTTACATAACTTGTATTTTATGCATTAGACATGGACTCTTCAATCCATGGCAGAGTTTTAGAAAGCATGTTCCCTACCTTTCTTAGCCAATATCAGACCTGTCAAAATCCAGCTGTTACCTCCATGTGAGAACATATGAGGCTGAAATGCACAGAAAAGCTTTGATCTCTTGCCCCGAGTCTGCAGGTACAGTATGCTGAATACTATGTTGCCATCTCGTTGTCATGACTGGCAGTGAAATCAAAGCTTTTTCGGGGGAAGAACGAGGAGGTAGCCCAAGGAGCCAGTGAAAGGCATCTCACTTCCAGCACTTGCACACTTGGCTCAAGGACTGTTTGTGTAGACTGTAACTGGGAGAAAGGCCATTTTGGCTGGCAGCCCTGTCAGGGCTGGCCAAAGACTCACAAAAGGACAGACAAAAGGTTTATTACACCAAGGACAAGTCCTGTAAAGGATGTACCAGGGCTTCTCTGTGCGTATGTGTTTGTGTGTGTGTTTGTGTGTGTGTGTGTGTGTGTGTGTGTGTGTGTGTGTGTGTGTGTGTGTGTGTGTGTGTGTGTGTGTGTGTGTTTGTGTGTGTGTGTGTGTGTGTGTGTGTGTGTGTGTGTGTGTGTGTGTGTGTGTGTGTGTGTGTGAGTGTTTGTGTTATGCTTTTTTTCTTTCATTACTCACCAATAATGATGCAGCAAAGGTAATAAAACTGTCACCGACTGCAATTAGAATTGATACAGGGACACAGTGAATTGCAGTGTTTAATAAACAATATAACTTTAACTTACAACAATGTTAATTTGAAATGTTCAAATAATATACTGACATACTTATTCACTAAAACTCTATTTAATGTGACGACAGAAACAATTTTAGCTCAGGCGCTCTGCTGCTTCATTAATAGTCCGATCCACTTCTGCAGCGATGAGCCGTCTGTAAAAACATTATGTATAATTACTACTCAGCTTTGAACTCACTTGACAGTTTAATCCAAATGAAATGTAATATTGTCATGAAATATTCATTTTAAGGGAATACCTCAACCAAACGTAGTCAACTGTTGTTGCTAAGGCACACAACCTTGACTGTAAAGTACTGTAGACAGTGTAACTTGTTAGTTCAACTCAGGGACTCGTACGTATATCTGCAGAATAATGGTCTCTAAGGATTCAGCTAAACTGGACCCAGGTGATTCAGCCCTAACAGCACCGCCATTATGAAGTTTAGTAGCCTTGAGCCAAACTTTGGAAGAGCAAGCGAAGCGAGAACGCTGCTATCCTTCCCACACGTGTAACTGTGCTGCAGTCGCATTAAGTCAGATTAATGTGAGGAGTATTTTTTCGTCTGGCAAAACGAACGTCGACCTCTCACCGCCAGATAAGTACTTAGGTGAAAAACACCAATACTTTTGTAGCAGCGTATTCAGTATGGCTCTGTTAACAGTGACTTTCTGTTGCTGCTTGAACAAATGCTCTGTACCCAATAATAGCCCATCGCATACATGGGCACCCAAAAAGAGCACTTCCACCAAAAGGGCTGCGCTCCACGCAGCCCTGACCCAACAGAAGAGGGAAAGCATAGCTGGCTTGTATGGCCGCTACACTAATGAGGTGCCATGCTTCAGTAACTAAACAGAGCACTGTCTCGTCTCACGATGTAAAAGTATTTCTACTGCAAGAATACAGACGGGCCACATTGCAGAATGAAATGTCTGCAGATATTTCCATTCAATTAGGACATTTGTGTTTTTGGTTAGACACCAAACGTTGGTAAGTCTCAAGATAATGCTCAATCCAAAAATAGCGTTAATCCAAAGAAATCTAGGCGTCCTCACACCTATCTCACACAATCACTCAGATCTTTCTTAGAGCTTTGACATTTGATTTCTTTTCCTAGTCTTTGTTGGTTATTTTATTTTAGTCTCACTTGTATGTCTCCTTTATTTCTATGTCAAACAGTCAAAATTTCCTCCTAACCCACTAGATAAAAGTCAGTCAGTTTTTTTTAATAGCATCAGTGCTATAGGCTACATCTTTGTTTAACCTGATATCTTTCTTTGTGCCTTTATCTTGGGTCTTTCTTTCTTTTTGCCTTTACTCTCCACTTTCATCCTCTGTTTTGTTGTGTTGTGTAATCTCCTCCATCTTAAAGGGGAACGCTCTGAGAAGCTGATTGTTTCAACAAAAAAAGGAGCTTGTAAGGTCAGGGACTGGTGTAAAGATGTAATTTATAGCCTTATTTTTTCCTCTAACCTTTACTATTTTTGTCCCTGTTTTTTTCATAACCTTCTCTAGTCTAAAGTGGAAGGCTGCGAGAAGTGCAGCAGTCTTTTCAACAAAGAGGGTCGTGTGCGGGCCGCCGTGACCACGGCGCCTGCCGGAGGGACCGAGGAGACCGATGAGGAGAAGGAGGGTTTGAAGAATCAGCTGAGAGAGATGGAGCTGGAACTTGCCCAGACCAAACTGCAGCTTGTGGAGGCTGAGTGCAAAATCCAGGTACACTAACACACAGTTCTGGTCCAAATCAAAACTACAAATGCCGTGAAATCAGAGAGTTAGATTGACATACATGGATGTAGCTATAGACACAGTAAAAAGTTTTATAAATATAATACTAGGGGTTTCCCTGTCACACTGTTCTACCTTCCAGTCTAAATACCAGAGGAGCTTGTGAGTCTTGTTCTGTGTAGTTGTACCATAACGATATAACTTGAATCACACTAGCTCTGCTCCCATCAGGACTTGCAACCTCCTCCAGCCGGCATAGAAACCAATTATCAAACAGACCTTGACTCGCAGTGAGTCTGCTATTCTGGCCTTTGTTGCAGTCACACATTCAACACTGCTTCGACAGCCTTTAAGAGGGTACCAAAGACAATTTCATGGGGAGGATAAAGGCGGCTTTGAAATTGGACAGGAGGTCTGAAATGTGAATTGACACTTGATCATTTCCAGTCAGTCCAGTCATTAAGCTGGGGGAAAATACATCCATTTCTTAATATCGAGGCTACCTGATTTTATGTAACATAGTGTGTCACCTGCACAGCTTTTAAAAAGGGAGTTCAGCGATATTTCTGCTCTTAAGACTTTATCAACCCTTGAAGAGCACCACACGAAAGAAGTGACACAGCAGAAAATTTGCTATTAACAAGATATGGTTAAAGAAATTAGGAACATTGTTGAGGAGCTTGACTTAATGTAATAATGGAGTGATGACAGTGCTGTGATCAGTGTCTGAAGCGGCATTAAGGTCTAACAGAATTAGAACAGATCAGTCTTGTTAAAGTGTGGAGCTTTGAAGCACAGTTGAAATATTGAATAAGTTGCTGTCATTTAACGGTCAGTTTGGAAATAATTGGAGTTTTAATGTGTGAGACAGAGAGGCTGAAGCGTGGTGCATCTGAGGAAAAACTGTGTCAGACTAGAGGAGCGTGAACTATTTATGATAAAAAAAGTTTTTGACCGACAGCAACAAGCAGCTCTGTGAGGAGTTTATTGGGAATGATGTCAAAGAAGAAAGATGAGGATTTCATATGATTAATGATGCCTTTTAAGAGTGGGAAGGGAATTGAGTTCAAAGCTGCTGGCAGAGTTGTAAAAATAGATAGTAAAATGCTTCAAAAGCACACAGGCCCATCCTCTTCAAACACTGTCATTTTTCCTCAGACTTCTTTCGTCTCCTGTCGTTCTGACAGCTATTTTTAGCTCCTCTCTTTCTTCTTCAATCAGGACCTGGAGCACCACCTGGGTCTGGCCCTCAACGAGGTGCAGGCCGCAAAGAAGACCTGGTTCAACCGAACGCTCAGCTCCATCAAAACCGTCACTGGGACCCAGGGCAAGGAGACCACCTAACCTGATAACCCCCATCCACCCAGTTTTACCCAGACCATGTCTGGAGCTCAGTGCAACTCACCACGCTGAAACCTCTGGACCCCTAAACTTAACCCACTGGGCCATAACTTTAACTCGAACATTGACCGTTAAAACCCAGGATGACCATTACTACAGACTGTGTTACTTATCAAAAATGTCCTTGTGTCTCCCCGTTCCCACGTCTACTGATCTAATCACCCCCACCCGTTTCTTCCCCTCCTCACCCCAAATGACTACAGCCAACCGTGCTGATGAGAAGGGGTTGAAAAACATAAGATGAAGTACAATGGTACCACTTTCCCTAGAGAAACAATGTGCTTCCACCGGTCACAGAGAGAAAAGTGTAAAAAAATAAGAAAAAAAATGAGAAATGCTTCATTGATTTCTGTCTTTGTACTGCTGATATTAAAGACCGGCAGAAGGAAGGTAGGACATCTGGACTGTACCTGTCCTGATGGGATAGAGAAGAAAACACTCCGTCCTTCCTTACTCTTCTGCGTGCTCCCCTCTAAACTACTGGCACAAACCAACCAGTCCCTGTAAAATGTTTGTTTTAGGTACGAGAGCTGATATACGCCTTTTCAAACTCAGCTTTTTCTAATTTACGTTGAACAATACCTTTCTTTTTCTTTGTATGTACATGAATGTGCTTATGTAAAGAGGATACGTGTGTAAGTGTGTGTGTGTGTGTGTGTGCGCGCGCGCACGCATGTTTTTCGTTTTGTGTTGATTGTGAGGTGTATGTGTTCATGTGTGTGAGACTGGATAAAATGTGTTTGAATGCATAAGTAATTGACTGAAATAACTTTAAGCTGTGTGTAAAAGAGAAAGAGAAACGGACTGTGTGGAAGTCCAAGGGAAAGAAAAAGCACTAAGGTAATGAATGTGTGCATGCATGTAAGGGAAAACAGTTTTTCCTGGTTGTCTAGTTTCCTGAAATGTCCAAATGTGTATATGAATGATGCTAAAGAGAAGTTTGCTGACGAAGCCTTGATCTGAAGGTCGATAAAGGTGATGCTAGTAGATATGAATATGTCATTTACAGTAAAAACAGAATCTTAAAAGCTGCTGTAACTATGAACAGCAGCATAACTTTCCTCACATCAAATTTCAGACATAAAACATGCCTGAGGTTTGTTTGGTTTGGATCTCCCAGCACAAAGAAACTTCAAAAGCTCCAAACCATGAAAACCTCTGCATGTATTATACAGTGTGTGTGTGTGTGTGTGTGTGTGTGTAAGAACATCATCACGAACCCTAAACAGAAGTGTAAAGTCAGAATGGAAAACACACACACACACACACACACACACACACACACACACACACACACACACACACACACAAACAGAAAGTTGCAATTCCTGCTGTATTTGAACACACCCTTGAAACCCACCTCCCTCTTTCTGTGCACCAGCTGCTCTGTGATCTTTGACCTCGACTGGCAGTGTCATGTTTGATATATTGTTGAGCAGGGTGGCAGGCTGTGCTGTGTTTACTGTAGTTTTTACAGTTCACTCAGACTGCAGGGGAATCTCTTTTACCACTACACACACAAGCACTGAATTACAATTTCCACACACACTTTATATTTATAGAGGCAGGTACAGAACAAACACTCAGTGGCCACGTCATTAGGAACACCTGACGTGGTCAAGACATTTGGTTACTTCTTGTGAAAATATTAGGAAGACATGGTCTGAAAGATGCAAGACCAGGCTGGTTGAGCAGCAGAACCTGTGGTTAGAGGAAAATAAAGCGAGGGAGGTCAGAAAAGATGTTTAAAACTAAGAGGAAGGCCACAAGGACACAGATAAGTGCAGCACAGTGTACCAGCAGAGTTCAGAGGGACATCTCGCAATGTATGATTCTTGGCTTGATTTTTGTTTCTGCTGCCGACATCTATTGTAAAAAGAACGATGAGGCGATGTGGGCCTGGTGATCGCCAAAAGCAGGTGATTGATGATTATAAATCTCTTGAATCCCGTGTTGAATCAAAGGTACAACCTTGTGGTGTAATAGTGGGGAGAGTGTTTTCTCGGCTTACGTTAGCGTCCGTTAATGTCACTGGAATACCGCAGCGTACAATAGCATTGTTACTGTCCAAGTGCATCTCTACATGGCCGCGTGACAAAGCTGCTCATCAGGCACACGACAGAAACTTGTGCTTATTCCAGTTGCATGCACCCAACTCAGTAGAGCACCTTGGGGATGAGGTTCGGCTCGCAAAAATCTGCAGAATTGAGCGACTATCGAACCAGCTTGGAGCAAAATCCCTGTGAAACATTTCAAACACGGTCATGCCTCAAAGAATTCAACTTGTTCATGAGGGAGAAAAAAAAACAGATTTTACCCAGAACTGAGAAAGTTTAAATATTGAAGTGGCCACTGAGTGTGTATATTCACATACTATTGTAAATGTAGAGGCAGGAGAGACACAAATAAAAATACTTGTCAACTGCAAAACATGTAACTCTGAACCTAAAGCATGGATCAATACCACAGGAGTTACACCATCAGTTGCAGGACTTCAGAGCAATGTCTTCAGAGGTCAAAGTGTGGGTCAAACTGGCAAGCACTCCAAATCAGGCCAGAGAGAACAGAGGGGGGTTTAAAATAGTTTTTGTGTGTGTGTGTTTTCATATTTAAATGAATAGGAAGGAGGCTCAACAATATTCAAATTTCTGTTCGTAGTTCAATATTCATATTAGAGTGGGGGAAAAAAAGCCGTATTTCTTTTGCCAGCCTAAAATTAACCGTTACTGTAAATTGCATCTAACTTGAAGGTGAAATCTGATTGGCTGGAATCTACTTGTGATGTCAGAGGAAAAGTCTGAGTGAGATGGAAAGAAACAAAGGGCCATTCCTCTAAAGGCACTGGGTTGTATATAACAAACATTAAAAAAAAATGAATATAGAGTTTTTGTTTATGATTTTCTACTCTGTAACTATAACTAATGTTGCCTACTTGTACCTACCTACCTGCTGCCGTGCTACAGTTTAAAACCACAACTACGTTTTATGTTTTTAATGTTTATTTTGCTCCAAGCTTCTCAGTCAGACTGCTGTTTGGTTAATTAAATGCCAAAACGTAGCTTTATCATCCAACAACAGAAACATTATCAATGTGTGGAAATTGTAATAGTGTAGGATGCATTGTGTATACTTCATGAATTTCAATATAAAGATATCGACACAAAAGTATCTGTGTTTCTTTCTGCTGCCTCAACAAACAAGTCATTTATTAAGAACAACTGTCAAACGTTAAGATGTTAACATCTGTCATTCTTTGTTTCATATTATTTCTCCTCTGTTATCATCATTTTGGACAAAATGAGGTGTCTGAAGATGTCATCTTAGAAATTAATAATGAAAAAGAAGTAGCAGCCCTGATTGTTTCAATACAGTCCTGATACAATACTTGTTTTGACACAAAATACTTTTTGTCATTTGACAAAAGAAGCCACAGTTTTCAAACATTAAATGTTGTCTAAGCACTTACAGCCATACAAGAACTTTACCCACATAAAGTTGTACAAAGAGGGAAGGTAAATCAGGAGCTCTTTGATCAAAAAGAAGGTAAATCAGTAGACTCAGCATTTGTGCGTTTGTACATTTCTTACGCTCAGTGCTAGTGACAATTTAGTTGGCACCAAAAAAGAGTTGTGGATCAATACTCAGCCCCAGTTATAATATTTTTAACTTTGATCCATCAGCAGGTTCAGCAGACAGAGGGTAAACAACAAAAACAAGGTCACACTGAGGGATCATTGAAGAGTGCTCTATAAGAAGCTAGATGTGAGAGAGGGGACACTGGGAGTGAAGTTTAAACTGTGTCTGTTTGGTTTTGATAGATTTCCTCTCACCTGAGAGAACAAAACAGTAAATCTGCCCCAAGAAACCCACTGATATTTGAATAGAAATTAACAGCATAAATCTTCTGCTTGTTGAGTGAAACTCTAAATTAAGATTACAAAGCCTAAATATTTAATTTCACTGTTTAATTTCTGTGAACATTAAACACAAAAATCCCTTCTTTTGTCAATTGCCAATTTTTGTTGCCAGGTACACCGTCTCATCTCTTTTCGTTTCCAGGTGAATTAATGTATTATGATGCCTTATTGTCGAAAACAAGTAGCTGTTAGATATCAAACCCATTGTCTGTTCCACTTTCAGTCAGCACACTTCCTCCATCATGTCTAACAAAAATGGAAGCCTTCAGTGTTGGTTTTGAGGTTCTTTACATATTAAGAACATATGGTATCTATAAGTTAATTAAGTTAATTTATTGTTGAATGTGCATCTTTATCTATCTCCAAGTTCAAAGCCGTCTCCTATAAAGCTGAAAATGTTGTTTCCTCTCTGATTTCTACCGTCTCATGTTGCAGCTGAAAAGGAGAAAGAGATAAAAGAGGCCCGTGCTGTTGTTTAACGAGACTTCTCTTGGTCACCTCTCGGGAACACTTCTCTGGACATCTGAAAGAGTTTTGAACATGATAATAAACCCGTTGTCTTCTGGCTAACAGCCTTTATCTGTCAGCCACTTGAACAAGCCGTTTCCCATGAGCTGCATGGAAATCTCCTCACAGCTTTTACTTATTTTGGCTTCAGCTCTATCTCTCATCTTCTCCCCCAGAGAACATCCCTCATAACATATGGCTGCATTGTTATCTGTGTCAGGTATGAGCTATTTTCTGCCTCAGCCTCGGTGTATAAAATATACAGTGTGCACTGATTGTGCTGGAGGTCTTACATATTTCATTTGGAGTGTTTATAACTTAGTGCAGACCCATAAAATTATCACCTTACGTGATGATGGCCGTTGGGATTTTGGCTCTGTGTTGGCCGCTATGGCTGCAGATTGCGAAGCAGCAGGCATGATGAGTTGGAAACCCAGTACCTACAGTGGCTGGAGGTAACAAGCGTCAGCATTACGCAATATCAGCTTGACAACCTCCCATCGTACACCCCCCCACCCTCTTTCTGTCCTGTGATACACAGCTATAAATACAATCAGCAGGCAGCAAAAGAGTAAAATGCAAAGGTGGAATGCTGATGGGATGGTCATCTTCAGTTGCTGCTCGACTCAGTCGTAAGTGATTTGTGAGCCAGGGAAGAAATTCTGTGTGGGTGTGTTAGAGGGGCCATGTGAAGCTATTTGGACCTCAGAGCCTCCACACATCCTCCTTAACTGTCTGTCACCTGATCTCCTAACTTCAGAAACACACACTGAGCTTCTACTGCTTTTGCTCCCAGCAACTCTGAAAAATGTGATATCAGATGTGAAAAGTTATTAATCACTTACAGTAAGAATTAAAACATCTTTTTATTTCCTGTAGACTCTGACTATTTCTGAACCAATAAAGCTGCCGGTATTGTAGTGTATTTTAGAATAAAATAGAATAAAATATAACAATGATGCTATCACTGATGATATATTAAGGCATAAAACGTCATAGGATGGTAAGACATAAAAAGTAATGAAAATGTAATAGTGAGGCGTAAAACGTCATAAAAACGTGATAGTACAGTAAGGCATGAAAAGTCAGAAACGTCAAAGGATAGTAAGGCATGAAAAGTAAAAAAAAAATGACATAGAATAGTATGGTTAAAAAAAAGAGGAAATAAGGACATTGTATAGTACGGCAAAAAAATGAAAAAACAAACTACTACAATGAGGCATAAAAACATCATAGTTTTTTCATATTAAGGTATAATGACTTCAAAGATTAGGAAGGCCTAAAAATTTAAAAAATGGCATAGTATAGTGTGGCAAAAACAGTGAAAATACAACATAGTATAATAATGTATAAAAACATCAAAAAAAATCATAGTATAGTAAGGTATAAAGATGTCATAGTATAGTAAGGTCTAAAAAGTAAAGAAGCAACAAAGTAAAGGATAGCAAAAAAAGAGAAAAAACGACATAGTATAGTATGGCAAAAAAGTGAAAAAATGAAATAGTATAATAAGGTATATAAACATCAAAAAACATAAAAGTATATTAAGGTTTAAAGATGTCATAGTATAGCAAGGTCTAAAAAGTAAAGAAGCAACAAAGTAAAGGATAGCAAAAAAAGAGAAAAAACGACATAGTATAGTATGGCAAAAAAGTGAAAAAATGAAATAGTATAATAAGGTATATAAACATCAAAAAACATAAAAGTATATTAAGGTTTAAAGATGTCATAGTATAGCAAGGTCTAAAAAGTAAAGAAGCAACAAAGTAAAGGATAGCAAAAAAAGAGAAAAAACGACATAGTATAGTATGGCAAAAAAGTGAAAAAATGAAATAGTATAATAAGGTATATAAACATCAAAAAACATAAAAGTATATTAAGGTTTAAAGATGTCATAGTATAGTAAGGTCTAAAAAGTAAAGAAACAACAAAGTAAAGGATAGCAAAAAAAGTGAAAAAACGACATAGTATAGTATGGCAAAAAAGTAAAAAAAGTAAAATGGTACAATAAGGCATTAAAATGCCAAAAAACATCAAAGTATAGTAAGTAATAAATATATCATAGTATAGTAAGACCTAAAAAGTAAAAAAAACGACATAGTACAATAAGGCCTAAAAAGTGAAAAAAAACGACATAGTATAGTATGGCAAAAAAGCAAAAAAAGTAAAATGGTACAATAAGGCATTAAAATGCCAAAAAACATCAAAGTATAGTAAGGAATAAATATGTCATAGTATAGTAAGACCTAAAAAGGGAAAAAAAAACGACATAGTATAGTATGGCAAAAAAGCAAAAAAAGTAAAATGGTACAATAAGGCATTAAAATGCCAAAAAACATCAAAGTATAGTAAGGAATAAATATGTCATAGTATAGTAAGACCTAAAAAGTAAAAAAAACGACATAGTACAATAAGGCCTAAAAAGTGAAAAAAAACGACATAGTATAGTATGGCAAAAAAGTCAAAAAATTCAACAGTATAATAAGGTACATAAACATCAAAAAACATAAAAGTATATTAAGGTTTAAAGATGTCATAGTATAGTAAGGCCTAAAAAGTAAAGAAACAACAAAGTATAGGATAGCAAAAAAAGTGAAAAAACGACATAGTATAGTATGGCAAAAAAGTGAAAAAACAAAATAGTACAATAAGGCGTAAAAACATCAAAAAACTGTCATTATATAGTAAGGAAAAAAGAAATCATGGTATAGTGAGGCCTAAAAGGTGAAAAAAAGACATAGCACAGTAAGACCTAAAAAGTGAAAAAACGACATAGTATAGTATGGCAAAAAAGTGAAAAAATAAAATGGTACAATAAGGCATTAAAACGTCAAAAAACATCGAAGTATAATAAGGAATAAATATGTCATAGTATAGTAAGACCTAAAAAGTAAAAAAAACCGACATAGTACAATAAGGCCTAAAAAGTGAAAAAAAACCGACATAGTATAGTATGGCAAAAAAGTGAAAAAATGAAATGGTACAATAAGGCATTAAAACGTCAAAAAACATCAAAGTATAGTAAGGAATGAATATGTCATAGTATAGTAAGACCTAAAAAGTAAAAAAAAACGACATAGTACAATAAGGCCTAAAAAGTGAAAAAAAAACGACATAGTATAGCATGGCAAAAAAGTGAAAAAATGAAAAAGTATAATAAGGTATAAAAACATCAAAAAACATCAGAGCATAGTAAGGAATCAATATGTCATAGTATAGTAAGACCTAAAAAGTAAAAAAAAAACGACATAGTACAATAAGACCTAAAAAGTGAAAAAAAAGGACATAGTATAGTATGGCAAAAAAGTGAAAAAATGAAATGGTACAATAAGGCATTAAAATGTCAAAAAACATCAAAGTATAGTAAGTAATAAATATGTCATAGTATAGTAAGACCTAAAAAGTAAAAAAAAACGACAGTACAATAAGGCCTAAAAAGTGAAAAAAAACGACATAGTATAGCATGGCAAAAAAGTGAAAAAATGAAAAAGTATAATAAGGTATAAAAACATTAAAAAACATCAGAGCATAGTAAGGAATGAATATGTCATAGTATAGTAAGACCTAAAAATAGAAAAAAAACGACATAGTATAGTATGGCAAAAAAGTGAAAAAATAAAATGGTACAATAAGGCATTAAAACGTCAAAAAACATCAAAGTATAGTAAGGAATAAATATGTCATAGTATAGTAAGACCTAAAAAGTAAAAAAAAACGACATAGTACAATA